TGTTGAATTTTGTCAGAAGCTTTTTCTGCATCTATTGAGAGAATCATGTGGTCTTTGTTTTTGCTTCTGTTTATGTGGTGAATTGCATTTACAGATTTACGTATGTTGAACCATCCCTGCATCCCTGGGATGAAGCCCACTTGGTCGTGATGGATTATTTTTTTGATAAGCGTCTGGATTCGTTAGCTAAGATTTTGTTGAAAATTTTTGCATCTATATTCATTAGGGATATTGGTCTGTAGTTTTCTTTTTTTGTTGCATCCTTTCCTGGTTTTGGTATCAGAGTAATATTCGCTTCATAAAAGGTGTCCGGGAGGTTTCCGTTCTTCTCGATGTTGTGAAATAGTTTCTGCAAGATAGGTACTAGTTCTTCTTTGTAAGTGTGGTAAAATTCGGACGTGAAACCATCTGGACCAGGACTTTTCTTTTTAGGGAGATTTTTAATTGCTGTTTCTATTTCAGCTGTTGAGATTGGTCTGTTCAGGGAATTATTTCTTCCTGATTGAGCCTAGGGAGGCTGTGTGTTTCTCGAAATTTGTCCATTTCCTCCACATATTTCCAATTGTGTGAATAAAGATTTTGTAGTACTCATAAATTATATCTTGTATCTCTTTGGGATCATTGTGATATCTCCTTTTTTGTTCCTGATGGAGCTTATTAGAGATTTCTCTTTTCTGCTTTTCATTAGCTTAGCCAGTGGCGTGTCAATTTTGTTTATTTTTTCAAAGAACCTACTTTTTGTTTTGTTAATCTCCTGAATAGCTTCCCTGTTTTCAATTCATTTAGTTCTGATTTGATCTTGTTGATATTTACTCCTCTGCTGGGTTTGGGCTGGTCTGTCTTCCTTTTCCAGCTCTTTGATCTTTCATTAGATTGTCTATTTGTGATCTTTGACTTTTGGTTATAGGCATTTATGGAGATAAACTTTCCTCTCAGAACTGCTTTAGCTGTGTCCCAGAGGAGTTGATAACTTGTCTCTCCATTGTCATTTTCTTCATAGAATTTTTTTTATTTCCATCTTGATTCTTCATTTATGAAGTAATCATTTAGTAGGAGGTTGTTTAATTTCTACTTTTTGTGTAGAATGTGAGTTTTTGTTAGGTTGATTTCTACGTTATTCACTGTGATCTGAGAAGATACATGGTATGATGTCTATTTTTTTAAATTTCTTGAGGTTTACTTTATGTCCTAGGATATGGTCAATCTTAGAGAATGTCCCATGAGCTGATGAGAAGAACGTATATTCAGTGGATTTTCGGTAGAATGTTCTGTAAATGTCAGTCAGTCCCAATTGTTCTAGAATTTTGTTTAAATCCATTATTTCTTTGTTAATTTTCTGATTGGAGGATCTATCTCATGCCGTCAGTGGGGTGTTGAAATCTCCGGTGATTATGGTATTGCTATTAATCAATTTGTTTAGATCCAGTAAGGTTTGCTTTATGAATCTGTGTGCACCTAAGTTGGGTGCATATATATTTAAAATTTTTATCTCTTCTTGTTGAACTGTGCCCTTCACCATTATATAATGATCCTCTTTGTCTTTCACTACTTTTGTTGGTTTAAAAACTAAATCGTCTGAAATTAGAACTGCCACGCCAGCCTTCTTTTGCTTCACTTGCTTGGATTACTGATCTCCACCTTTTACTTTTAGTCTATACGCGTCCTTGCAGGTTAGATGTGTTTCCTGAAGACAGCATATACTTGGCCTATATTTTCTCATCCATTCAGCCAGCCTATGTCTCTTGAGAGAGTTTAAGCCATTCACGTTTATTGAGAGAACTGATAGGTAAGGTAGATTATTGTTCATTCTGTTGGTTGGATGTGTTGCTTGATTTCTCTCTTGAGCCATAGGATATCTGCCTTTAATCTTGGTTTTGGTTATTTTTATATTCATGAGTTCTATTATGGTGTTCCATGTGTAACACTGTTTTGAGTACTTCTTGTAGGGCTGGTCTTGTCTTGGTGAATTCTCTGAGGCTTGCTTGTCTTGAGAATGTTTTATTTCTCCTTCATATACGAAGCTTAGTTTTGCAGGGAATAAGATTCTAGGCTGGCATTGTTTTGTTTCAGAAAGTGAGGAATGGGGCCCAGTCTCTCTTGCTTGTAAAGTCTCATTAGAGAAGTCTGTGTTATTCGAATTGCTTTCCTTGTAGTTACTTGCTTCTTTCGTCTTATAGCTCTTAGAAGGGCCTCTTTAGTTGATATTTTGGTCAGTCTGATGACTGCGTGACGTGACGTCTTCCTGTTTGCATTGAATCTCCCAGGGGTCCTCTGGGCTTCTTGAACTTGTATATTGAGATTTAGAGCAAGACCTGCGAAATTTTCCTTTATTATATCTTCAAAAAGCTTGTCCAACCCTTGAGTGTTGTCTTCTTCCCCTTCTGGTAAGCCTATGACCCTCACGTTAGGTTTCTTCACAGAATCCCATTTCTCTTGTAGGCTTTGCTCTTTTCTCTTGTTTCTCTGCTCTCTGTGACTGATTTATTTAATTGGAAGGTGTTATCCTCAATCTCTGAGATTCTTTCTTCTGTTTGATCTACCCTGTTCTTGAGACTTCCCACAGTATTTTGTAATTCCCTGAGTTGATTCTTCATCTCCAGGAATTCGGTAAAAGTTTTCTTCACTGTGTCAATCTCTTTGTTCCATATCCTGGAGGCTTTTTGTGGTTTCTTTGTGTTGGTTATTGAGTTGTTCTTGCAGGTGGGTGAGTGTTCTTATGATCCACATTCGAAATTCCTCTTCTGTCATTTTGGTTGCCAGGTTTTCGTTGTTGTCTGTTTCTAAGGGGCTGGTGCTCCTCTTTGGGGGTGTGTTTTCCGTTTGTTTCTTCGTATTTCTGGAGTTCCTTCGCTGATTTCTTCCCATTTTGCTCAGTTGTTGTTTCTTTCCTTTAGGTTTTCGTTTGGGTATTCACACGTCTTGTTTAGTATCTGAGCCGGTAGGTGGTGTTGCTCACTGGCGGCAGCCGTCGCTGGGCTGGTGTCTGCAGGTCTCTCTACCCGCTGGGGAGCCCACCAGCAGTCCGAGATGTAGTGGAGGGGAAACAGCCAATTCCCCTACCCTTCCCGCTGGTCTCCAGGCTGCTCTGGCGCCCTCCTGTCTTCTGCTTCCTTAATTACACAGGTGGAGATAGATGGCAGGAGCAGTTCCTATCTCAGCTCCACCCCCAAGGCGGGGCTAGAAACTTTGGAGCCGAAGGCCCAGCCCCAAGTCACCAGAGTGTGTGGGTCGTAAAGTCTCTCTGTTTTGTATTCACCAAAGGCAGCCTCCTACTAGGCTCAGCCCTGCCCAGGCAAACTCCAGGGCCTGGACACTGAGCGCAGGAGACCTGTGCAGGGAGAGACTGGCCTGAAGCCGGCAGGCTGGTAGCCAGACCCACGGATCCCTGTCTTCTGTCTCTTTAATTACACAGGTGGAGATAAGCGGTAGGAATGGGAACAGTTCCTATCTCAGCTCTGCCTCCAAGGTGGGGACAGAGACTTTGGAGCCAAAGGCTCAGCCACAAGACACTGGAGCATGGTGGACGTAAAGTCTCTCTGCCTTATAGCCACTAAGGGCAGTCTCCTACGAGTCTCAGCCCTTCCTAGGGGGGCTCCGCGCTCTGTGTCCAGAGTGACTGACCAGAAGCAGGCAGGCAATGGGACCCACCAATCCCTGTCTTCTGTCTCCTTAATTACACAGGTGGAGATAAGCAGCAGGAATGAGAACAGTTCCTATCTCAGCTCCACCCCCAAGGTGGGGACAGAGACTTTGGAGCCTAGGGCGGGGCTCCGGGTGGCAGGAGAGTGTGGAAGGCAATGTTTTTCTGCCTTATATCCGCCAAGGGCAATCTCCCCTGTAGTACTGCCCCGTCCAGGTAGGGTCCACTCTCTGAGCACAGAGTCAGTGCCACTTGTGCAGCAAGTGACTGTCCAATATCAAATTGGTGGAGCAGGGGCGCGTACCACCGCTGTCTCTGCGCTTCCCCTCCAAACCTTGAGCCCAAGTCAGCGCTGGAATGACAAGTCAGCTCCGGAATGTGGGGGCGGGGAATGCGGGGGCGGGAGCGGTGCCGGAGGGGCAGAGGGAGGGGGGTCCTAATGGATCAAGGAGTCTAACTTTGCGCACTCTGACCTCTCAGTGCTATCCCAAACCTCCTCTATATCCAAAGTCGAAGCCTCCTTCTGTGTAAACTCCCCTTGACCTGGGAGTGTTGTGCAGGGAGATGCCTGAGTGGGCTCTGGTTCCTGCTGTGCGGAGAGTGGTTGCTGGGCTTGGACCCTCCCCCTCCTTATACTGCCACTGCTGTGTGCTCTGGGGAACTCAGAGTGTTCCCTGCTCTAGTCTCCTCTCCACGCGGCTTAGTCCCGCCTGCCACTTCTCACCAACTTCAGGCACCTCCTGGCCTACGGCCTACGTGGAAGTGGAGCTCGGTGTAGGCGGGGGTGTTTCTCAGCACCGGGTAGGGCTGGCACCACTGCCAGCCGGCAGCGGCTTAAACCACGCCTCGCTCCCTCCCTGTTGTGTGCCTCTGAATCCCTGATTTTTGCGGAAGAATAATCGGTTCACCTTTGCTTTAGGCTGCAAATGGTCTTATCCCTCCGATTCCTGGTGGATGTCTGCAGGCTTGCAAAGCTGGTCCCATGAAAGTGCAGATCGCTCGAATGTGGCTATCCGCTTTCTTCACTTTTCGCTCTGGGAGCAGAGAGCCAGGAGGGCACCCCTACTCCGCCATTTTCCTGTGCTAGCTTTGTTCCTTTTAAGACTGTCAGTTGCTTACATTGGGGAAAATGTTTGCCTCTTGCTGCACTAGATCTGAACTTGTTCCCTGAGTGTCACTGGGTTCTGATCTTGCATTTTCTGTGTCTCATTTTCAAGGAAGATTCCTTGGTTATATGTTGTCCCAGAAAGCAGTGACAACAGAATTTCATGGAAATGTAATGGCCCCAGAAGAGGCAGGAAGGAATGAAGGACGGAGAGGGCCTATAGTACAGTATTATGATCTCTGCCTTCACCTGCAGGTCACTGCTGAAACTCAAGAGAAAGAGAAAGTTATCACACATTTGCAAGAGAAGGTCGCATCCTTGGAGAAGAGACTAGAACAAAACTTATCAGGAGAAGAACATGTCCAAGAACTTCTGAAAGAGGTAACTTTCACTCTCTGGTGATTCCAGAAATCCTAGAGTTTCAGAGCTGGAGTGCCAGTAAACAGCTCTGTCAGAAGAGCACTCTCTCCAACTTTGCATTGTCCTGCTTACATCAGAAACAGCCTCATGTTCCCTGTGTGCGGCATGCTTTTCTCAGGCAACAGGAGAGCTTTGTTCAGAGACATGAACAGATGGCATTCTTGTCACCAATCAACTGCACCTAGTGATTTCCACCATTTCGGCTGTCTTACCTTACCACACTGCTGTCTTTCCCACACTTTTGCACTCTATTGGTCAAGGGAAGTTGCTACCGTCTGCCCTCTGGCATGAGCAAGAATTAACCTGGGTCATTGTTCTGCCCACATTCTGCTCCTCCTTCTCTTTGTATCCCAGTGATTGGCCTCACCATGACAACAGTGTTAAAGCAAGGCCTCAGCACTCATCCTAGGTTATTATTGTTGTTGTTAGAAACAGGGTCTCGCTCTGTCACCCAGGCCAGAGTACAGTGGCTTGATCATAACTCACTATAGCCTTGAACTCCTGGGCTCAAGCAATCCTCCTGCCTCAGCCTCCTGAGTAGCTGGGACTACAGGCGCACATCACCACACCTGGCTAATTTTTAAAATTTTTTTGTATAGACAAGGTCTTGCTATGTTGCCCATGCTAGTCATGAACTCCTGGCCTCAAGTGATCTTCCCTCCTCAGCCTCCCAAGTGCTAGGATTACAGGTGTGAGCCACCACAACTGGCCTCATCCTAGATTACACGTTCATTTCCTGTCTTCAGCACTTTCAAGTAAATATCTCTACCTCCACTGCCACTGTTGTACTTCTGGGTTTCCAGCAACTCTAGCTTAGTCTATATTGAAGGCTCCAGACTGGCCTACTCCGCATCAGTATCTCCTCCTTCATCTTCTGACAGTCTTACATGCTCACTGCCAAACTGATCTCCTAAATAGCATTTATGATGGTATCATTCCCTTAAACATCTTCCGCAGTTCCCGTAAACAGTCTACAGTGAGTACATTGTGAGTTACAAATTGATTTCTAGAATCAGACTGCTTATGTTTGTATCCAGCCTCCTCTTGCTAGCTTGTGATATAGAGCAAGTAACTTAATCTCTTTGTATTTGTTTCTTCCCCTGTAAAATTGTTTTTATTATGGTACCAAACTCAAAACTATTGTTAGGATTAAATAAGTTATAATATGTAAAGTGCTTAGAATGATGATTGGAACATAGTAGGGTCTCAGTATGTGTCAGCTATTAATATTATCATTATTATTGTGTCATCATCATTATTATAAAGTTTAGTGTGCATAGGAGTTACTTGGGGAGTTTGTTTAAAGAATTTATCTTGGCCAGGCGCAGTGGCTCACGCCTGTAATCCTGGCACTCTGGGAAGTTGAGGAGGGTGGATTGCTTAAGGTCAGGAGTTCGAGACCAGCCTGAGCAAGAGCGAGACCCCGTCTCTACTAAAAATAGAAATTATCTGGACAACTAAAAAATATATATATAGAAAAAATTAGCTGGGCATGGTGGCACATGCCTGTAGTCCCAGCTACTCGGGAGGCTGAGGCAGTAGGATTGCTTGAGCCCAGGAGTTTGAGATTGCTGTGAGCTAGGCTGACACCATGGCACTCTAGCCCGGGCAACAGAGCCAGACTGTCTCAAAAAAAAAAAGAATATATCTCTTTCCCTACCGCCAGAAATTCCAATTTCAGCAGGCCTGGAATAAGGCCTCAAATTTACCAACCACCTCAGGTAAATCTAATGCCAGGGTTTAGAAGCACCCACTTTGAATAACATTACCTACAGAATAAAATTCAAACTCCTTTTTTGCAGCATTAAAACACCTTTCATGGGCTGGGCATGGTGGCTCACACCTGGAATCCCAGCATTTGGGGTCGCTAAGGAAGCAGGATCTCTTGATGCTAAGAGTTCAAGACCAGCCTGGGCAACATAGCAAGACCCTATCTCTACAAAAAATAGAAAAAAATTGTCCGGGCATGGTGGTGTGCATCTGTAGTCCCAACTACTCAGGAGACTAAGGCAGGAGGATTGCCTGAGCCCCAGAGTTGGAGGTTGCAGTGAGCTGTGATCATTCTACTGAGCAATAGAACAAGACCCTGTCTCAAAAAAAAAAAAAAAAAAAAAAAGCCTCTTATGATCTGGCCCTTTTGCCTAACTTTCTAGTCTCATTTCTTGACTTAAACCCATCGCTTTAGCTTCTGAGGCATTATAGTTCCCTGAATGGAGCAGGCTGTGCACATCTCCACTCCTCATCTCTCTGCCTGGGAGGCTCCCCCAGTCCCTGGCCACCGGTGAGTGATAAAGCCTGTGGCAGGGAGTATCTCCCACTCTGTGCTCCCTATTTGTGGGCAGTTATTGCAGCTGTTGTATAAATTTTTGTTAGTCTTTTATTCCAGCCTCAAGATCAAAGGACTATGTCATATTATCTGTATGTGCTTTATGATATGTGAATTAATGTCAATTAGTTGGGTATTTTAAATGTATTTGTGTCCCTTTTGCGTAGCACAAATCATAGTATGTTGTAGATTTCAGTAAAAATTTATTCAATGGAGGAATGACTATTTTCTTTTACTCTTCTTTCAACTTACAGAAAACAGTTGCTGAGCAGAATTTTGAGGACACCAGACAGGAGCTCTTAGCAGCTACAAGCAGCCAGGCCAAGGCCATTAACACCCTGGAGTCTCGGGTACTGACCTTACTCCTGCTGTTTCCTATGTTTGGGTGGTAACCTGGCTGAATGACAACATGGTGTGGCTGAGAATCCCATTGGTCAGAGTGTTTCCATTGGAAGGTACTACTCTTTGGATCTTACCAATATAGGGATGAGTTAGTCATTTTCTTCATTCTTGCCACATTACCATCATTGAGTTCCACACAAACTTGTTCTCATGTTTATTTTATTCTCTTTTATCCCGGTTGGCCTCCCTCCAGTAGGAAACCATTCCAATGTGGTTAATATAGATCCCTTTATCGTTGGGTTACCTTAAAATGGATAGCATTTTTTTCATGTGCATGTGTTTTTAATTCATGTAAATGGTGCAGCTGTGAATGTGTCTTCTCTGTTACTTTCAGCTGCCCCAACTTCTGTCTGTATCTACTTCATTGTACTTACCTACTCTTCTTCGTAGTTTTCTGCATTGTAGACATCCAGATTGCCTTCTTCCTGCCACCTCAGGTTACACTGTAATCAATAGCCTTGTCCCCTAAAGGATAATAGAAAATGCATATGACCTAAAATGACTAAATAGAACAAGATTGTTCTCAAAAAGCCTTCACCTGGCTCTCCTCCTCCAGCATACATGAGGGTTCCTAACTTGCTTTTCTGCCTTTTCCAACATTGGCATTTCCCAGCCTTTTATATTTTTTATTTATTTATTTTATTATTATTATTTTTAGAGACAGGATCTTGCTCTGTTGTTGCCCAGACTAGAGTGCAATGGTGCAATCACAGCTCAGTGCAACCTCCCACTCTAGAGCACAAGGTCCTCCTGGCTTAGTTTCCTCAGTAGCTGGGACCATAGGCATGTGACACCATGCCCAGCTAATTTTTTTCTTTTTGTTTTTTTTAGAGATGGGGTCTTGCTGTGTTGCCCAGGCTGCTCTTGAACTCTTGGCCTCAAGCAATCCTCTCACCTCAATCTTCCAAAGTGTTAGCATTTCAGACATGAGCCCCTTGCCCAGCTGCCCAGCCTTTTAGATTTTTGCCAGTTTAATGAATATGAAGTGATATTTCATTACTTTAATATATGTTGCTATGGTTATTAATGAGTTTAGCCATGTCTTCATATGCTTGTTATTCTTTGGGGTTTCTGCTTTTAGATTTCCCATTCATATCCTTTCCTTGTTTCTCTTTGGGGAATTTCAGTCTTTGATTATTTGGTTTATAGGATTTTATTGTATATTCTTGTTCCTAATCCTTTGGTAGTTACAGTCCTGTGCTAATCTGTTAACTTTGTTCATGTGTCCTAATCCAGGCACAGACTATCTTTGTGTGTAGTGTTAGGTAGGGATCCAACTTTATTTCTCTCCATTTTTCTCAACACCGTTTACTGAACAATCTATCCTTTCTGAATGTATATCTCATGCTAACTTTATCATATATTTATGAGTTTGTCTCTGCATTCTCACTATCCATTGGTCTGATTGTCTGCTCTTGTGTAATCACTACAATGTCTTTATTACATTGTATTTTCTGTACTATGTCTCAGTATCCACTAAGACAAATTACCCTTTTCTTTGAAGGTGAATTTAACTATTTGTAGACCTATAAAGTTTTTGAGTTTCCATAAAATTAAACCTGAATATTTATTAAGATTGCATTAAGACCAGGTGAGGTGGCTTATGCCTGTAATCCTAGCACTCTGGGAGGCCAAGGTGGGAGGATCGCTTGAGCTCAGGAGTTTGAGACCAACCTGAGCAAGATTGAGACCCCCGTCTCTACTAAAAGTAGAAATTAGCCAGACAACTAAAAATAGAAAAAATTATCTGGGCCTGGTGGTGCACACCTGTAGCCTCAGCTACTCCGGAAGTGGAGATAGGAGGATCCCTTGAGCCTCAGGAGTTTGAGGTTGCTGTGAGCTAGGCTGTCACCACAGCACTCTAGCCTGGGCAGCAGAGACTCTTGTCTCCCCCCCCCAAAAAAGATTCCATTAATATATAGAGTAACTGGGGAGAATTGTCAGTTTTATAATATTAAGTAATTCCTTCCAAGAATGTAAATAAATTCCATATATTCAGATTATTTCCTGTGTTCTTCATTAAAATTCTATATTTTTCCCAAAAGATACCTTATTTTCTTTTTTTTTTTTTTTTCAAGTGGCTAGGTTCTAGATTTCAAAGATACCTTATTTTCTTGGTTAAGTTATTCCTAGAGACTTTAGAGTTTATATTGATGCTGTGATGGCATCTTATTTTTAATTGGTCATTTCTGTTTATTTTAGAGAAATGCCATTTTTTTTAGTTGATCTTGAATATTGCACTCCTGCTAGACTTTCTTACTCTAATATTGTGTGATTTCTTTGTATTTCCTGGGCAGATAATCATATCCTCTATAAATAATGACAGCTTTATTGTAGTCCTTCTAGTCTTTCTACCTCTTATTCTATTTTCTGTCCATATAGAATGGACAGTACTATATTAAGCAGGGGTAGTGGGCATCATCATTTTGTTCCCAGTCTTAAGGGAATGTGTCTGAAGTTTCCTCATTTGGTATAAAGTTTGCAGGTTTTTGTTATTTAATCTTTACTGAATTAAGGAGGTTCCTTTCCAGTCTGTGAAGGATTTGTTTTTTAAAATTATAAATTTGTAGAATTCTATCAAATGCTTTATTTGCATTGATCGAAACAAATCATACATTATTTTTCCTTTAGTCTGCTAATGTGGTGAATTACCTTAATAGATTTTTTGATGTTAAACCATCACTGCATTGTATTTCTGGGGTAACTACCTCTTGATATGTTATTTTTATAATAAACATCTGAATTTCATTAGCTAATACTTTATATAGAATTTTTACAACTACATTTATAAGTTGAGTGGGCTTATAATTATCTGGTTAAAGAATCATGCTACACCAGCCTTATAAAAACAGCTGGGCAGCTTTTGTGCTATTTTCTGAAACAATTTATATTAAGATTCAATTTATTTATTTAAAGTTAATGCATATAAAAATTTGGTAGAATTCATCTACAAAATGATCTGGACCTGAATTTTTCAGTGAAGAGGCATCTTTAGTTATAGTTTCAATTTTTATTATTTATTAAACTAAGTTTTCTATTTCTTTTTTGAGCCAATTTGATTTTTTTCCAAAATTTATCCATTTCATCTTGATTTTTCCAACTTATTATCATATTTATACTCTTAAGATGTATTAACATATAATAATATATTTGCCTGTAGACATATAGTATTTTCTTTTTTTTTTTTTTTTTTTTTTTTTTTTTTTAGACAGAGTCTCACTTTGTTGCCCAGGCTAGAGTGAGTGCGGTGGCGTCAGCCTAGCTCACAGCAACCTCAAACTCCTGGGCTCAAGCGATCCTTCTGCCTCAGCCTCCCGAGTAGCTGGGACTACAGGCATGCGCCACCATGCCTGGCTAATTTTTTCTATATATATTAGTTGGCCAATTAATTTCTTTCTATTTTTAGTAGAGACGGGGTCTCGCTCTTGCTCAGTCTGGTTTTCAACTCCTGACCTCGAGCAATCCGCCCACCTCGGCCTCCCAGAGTGCTAGGATTACAGGCGTGAGCCACCACGCCCGGCCAGTATTTTCTTTTTAAATCTCCGTGTGCTCCTTTGTTTCTATATTGTGTTAATTGGCATATTCTGTTTTTCTTGGTTAGTCTTGCCACAGCTGTATCTCAGGATTGGGCAAACTGGGACCCTCAGATTAAATGTTGCTGGAAAACACACCCATTCATTTACGTATGTGTAACAGGGATGTTTTCTTGCAATAGCAGAATTAAGTAGTTGTGGAAAAGATTATAATATTTATTAAAAAGTTTGCCAACACCTAAACTATTTTATCAGTCCTTTGAAAGGACCAGCCTTTTCATCTGTTCAAATTTTTATTCTCTTTGTTATTTCTGCCTTTTATTATTTTTTCCCTTACTATTTCTTCAGGTTTGCACCATTACTTTTTAAATTTCTTGAGTTAAATGATTTTTAAAAATCTTTATTTCCGGGCCGGGCGCGGTGGGTCACGCCTGTAATCCTAGCACTCTGGGAAGCCGAGGCGGGCGGATTGCTCGAGGTCAGGAGTTCGAAACCAGCCTGAGCAAGAGCGAGACCCCGTCTCTACTATAAGTAGAAAGAAATTAATTGGCCAACTAATATATATAGAAAAAATTAGCCAGGCATGGTGGCGCATGCCTGTAGTCCCAGCTACTCGGGAGGCTGAGGCAGAAGGATCGCTTGAGCCCAGGAGTTTGAGGTTGCTGTGAGCTAGGCTGAGGCCATGGCACTCACTCTAGCCTGGGCAACAAAGTGAGACTCTGTCTCAAAAAAAAAAGAAAATCTTTATTTCCTGATAACTATATTTAAAACTATTTTTTTTTATCTACAGACTTTTGTTTTTTATTATAATTCATTTCTATTTTCTGAATATCATTTATGCTTTATTGTGATAAAATATATATAGCCTAAAATTTACTACTTTAACCATTTTTAGGTGTCCAGTTCAGTGGCATTAAGTACATTCATGTTGTTGTGTAACCATCACTACTACCCATCTGCAGAACTTTTTCATTTTCCCAAACTGAAACTCTATACCCATTAAAACAATAATTCTCCCAGTCCCTGGCAGCCACCATTCTATTTTCTGTCTGTATGAGTTTGAGTACTACCCTATATAGGTGGAATCATACAATATTTGTCCTTTTGTGTCTGGCTTATTTCACTTAGTATAATGTCATCAAAGTTCATCCATGCTGTAGCATGTGTCAGAATTTCATTCCTCTTTAAGGCTAACATTCCATTGCATGTTTTACCACATTTTGTTTATTCATTGATGGACATTTGAGTTGTTTCCATCTTTTGGCTATTGTGAATAATGCTAACAACATTAGTGTACAAGGTTTTTGTGTGGACTTATATTTTCTTTTTGGGGGGGCGTATACCTAGGAATGAAATAGTTGGGTCATGTGATGATTCTGTGTTTAATCTTTTGAGGATCTGAATCTTTCTTGAGCTCAACCTCTAATTGAGACTTGGGTGGATATTTTCTGAACTCAGGAGTTTAAAACACTAGGTTTTAGTCCTGGCATTACCACTGGTAAAATTTGTGATCATGTACCAGTAACATTACTGTTCTTCTCTGTGAAATAGTAGCCCCTTCTCATGGAGTCGTTTTAGTTAAATCTCACACGTGAATGTCTGTGAGGAACCTGAACCTGAACAGTACCCTTCTCTCAGTGGGTACCTACCTCCTCTTCACCTCCATGCAGCCTTCCTGGTGCTTGGGTTTTCATAATAAAGCTCCCCAAGGTCAGACCTTACTCAATAAACAAGAGCGTTTTACAAGAGAATTCACAAATACAGCCTGAGTCTAATAAAAATGCCATCATAGAGAGCGAAATCCAGATTTAGCTCGGTCCTGGACTTTGAGTGACCTGAGGGCCAGTCTGCATCTGTCCTGCTCGCTGTGCTGGCCTCGTGCCCTGTTTCAGTTCCGGGTACCCAGTCAGACTGGGTCAGTATTTGTGGAATGAATGAAACCTAAATTTATATTGCGAGCAGTAATCCCACTTCTGGGAATCTATCCTAAGGAAGTGATTCAAACTAGTAAAACAGTTTTGTGAAGATATTAATTGCTGTTTTATTTTAGATGGAAAAAATGGAAAACAACCTAAATGCTAGCATAGTAGGCAAGTGGTTCATTAAATTATGAAATACTCTTTGAGGAAATAATAATTTAAAGTCTGAAGATTACCTGGAAACACAGAAGGAAATTTATGAGTGGGGAAGAAAATACAAAGTTTTACATCGTTTTATTAAAACCACATGAAGTTATTTGTAAAAGTCATTAAAAAAGACTGGAAGGAGGCCAGGCGCGGTGGCTCATGCCTGTAATCCTAGCACTCTGGAAGGCCGAGGCGGGAGGATTGCTCGAGGTCAGGAGTTCGAAACCAGACTGAGCAAGAGCGAGACCCCGTCTCTACTATAAATAGAAAGAAATTAATTGGCCAACTAATATATATAGAAAAAATTAGCTGGCCATGGTGGTGCGTGCCTGTAGTCCCAGCTACTCGGGAGGCTGAGGCAGAAGGATTGCTTAAGCCCAGGAGTTTGAGGTTGCTGTGAGCTAGGCTGACGCCACGGCACTCACTCTAGCCTGGGCAACAAAGCAAGACTCTGTCTCAAAAAAAAAAAAAAAAGACTGGAAGGAAATACATTAGAGTCATGATGTTTTATAATGATAGAATTATGGTTATTTTTTTTCTCATGTTACATTCTTTTCTGTAATGTACCTTGGTTTGCTTTTTTTTTTTGAGAGAGTGTCTCTGTCCCCCAGAGTACAGTGATGCAATCACAGCTCACCACAACCCCCAACTCTGGAGCTCAAGCGATCCTCCTGCCTCAGCTTCCTAAGGAGCTGGGACTACAGGCCCATACCATGATGCCACCTAATCTACGTATTTTTGTAAAGATGGGGTCTTGCTATGAGGCCCCAGGCTGGTCTTGAACTCCTGGCATTAAGCGCTCAGCCTACCACAGTGCTAGGATTACAGACTAGAACCACCTCACCAGCCTGGTTTGCATCTAAAGCCATTTTTTACTACCCTTCAGCTTCTCTGAGCAGAAAGAATGCTTCTGTTTCCCTCTTAGGTGAAAGAGTTAGAGCAGATCCTGCAGGCCACCGAGGAGCAGCTGAAGCAGAGCAGGGCTGTTGTGCTTGCCCAGGAAGCCCACATTCAGGAGCTTGTAAGTGGTGCTTGTGGCTGCTGTGTCTGGGCTTTCCCTTGATGCCTTTGCCGTTGCCCCAGACTCCCTCCCATCTTGGGCAGTGGCGTCCAGACCTGCCTTTGGCAGAGTGGTTGTGCTTAGTGTGAACGGTGGGCAGCACCAGGGAGAGGGAGTCAGGGAAGGGGACAGGCTGGCTCATTCCCCCCTGACCTCCATCCTTCGGGCCCAGCTCAGTCCTGGGGTTGTCAGAGGTGGCAGCTGCATTAGGAGTCAGCTTGCAGTTGGGTGCAGAGAACAGGTCACACTCTGAGGAGAACCTGACAAAGTTATGGCCAGTCATCACAGCCTGGGTGGGGCGTGGAGTTAGAGGGTAGGGAGATCAAAGCAGCCAGCATGGATTTCAGTTTGCCATGTCCCAGACACTGTGTTGAGTCTCCATACATGTTTTCATATAGTTCTTGCAGTAGACCTAAGAGGTCTGCACTATTGTCCTCTTACCATAAAGGAGGCAAGCTCAGAAGGATTGCATCACTAGGCCACAGCCTCTCACCAGGCCACGGCCTCTCACCAGGCCATGGCCTCTCACCAGGCCACGGCCTCTCACCAGGCCATAGTCTCATAGCCAGTAAGTGGCAAAACTGACATACTTCTCATGTCAAAGGCATTGTTCTTCACCACTGTGTTATACTGCCTCCCCTGGGGAAAGGCTCAGCTGTGGAGGCAACTCTGAGTAGCATGGAAGAGGCCTGTGTCTGAGGATGGGCTGGTGTCCGGAGCCATCCCCACATGCCCTGAGGGTGCAGTGGTAGCATCCAGACCGATGCCAGACTCCACCTCCCAGGGCAGGCCAGGCCAGGGCCCAGGAGCCACATGCAGAGCCTGTGGGGAACAACAGGGAGACCTCAGCAACACCAGGGAGGAGAACAGGAAGGACAGCTGTTTCCATTGGACACTCATGTTTGGGTCTGTGAGGACTGGACTGGGGCCCCCTCCCCCTGAAAACCATTGTCACCCTAACTGTCCTGTGCTATCCCCACAGGCCGCTGCCAATACAGAGAGCAGCCAGGCACAGCAGCAGGCTGTTGCTCTGGAACAACAGCACATAGAGCACACCCAGGCCCTGGAGGCCCAGATCGCCTCTCTGGAGAGAGTACGGGCCTGCGAGCAGGCCACCGCGGAGCGCGGGATGGTGAGTAGGAGCAGGGTAGCCGAGTGCAGGGGCTCCGGGTCCACACACAGCGAGGTTGGCCACGTACTTGACAGAACAGCCCGTCACTGCCTAGGAACTAGGCTGATAACTGTGTGTTTTGGTGATGTCCTGTTTGCTATTAATCTTTCAGGTGTTCAATGACCATGGGTATTTAAATACTGGCAATATCAAGGTTGCTTTCCTCAGTTATTCCCTCAAATAGGTTTTCCATGCTTTTTGCTTTTTCTTCTCCCTCCCAGGGATATCTATCATTATTATATAGCTTGTTTTATGTAGTCCCATACATCTCTGATTATTAATTCTCCTTTATTTTTGTTTTCTACATTTTTGACTGAATGGGTTAATTCAAAAGCCTGTTTTCAAGCTCTTGGAGAGCTGTTCTTAGCTTTCCAGTGAGACACCTGCACGTGGGACTGGATGTCAGAAGGCTGCTATTTACAAAACCCCAATTCAGATGGGTTTTCTTGTTCCTTAGGCCCCAAAGAGACTTCCCAGTGCTTTCTGAGCATCCACCTCAGCTTCTCCCATATCTTTTAGAATCCATATTGCTCTCCCCGATGACTACCCTCTCCAGGGCCCCTCTCCCTCCTGCACAGTCTTGAGAATCATGCACGTCACTCCTCCTCCTCCTGGGTCTTTCAAGTAGTTCTCTCTTTCGTACCCTTACCCACATTCTCATCTCCCACCCTGCAGTGACCAAAAAGGGGAGGGGTATTTCAAAGGTGCCATGTCAAAGAGATAGGACTGTGCTCAGGGAAAATATGGTCATTAAGACCTTTTATTTATGTATGTTGTTCTCAATTTGCAGAGAGAACTGGAGCAAGAAAATGCAGCCCTTAAAGAAAGCAGGAGTGAATGTGAACGTTCTCTACAACATCACCAATTTGAACTAAAGAAGCTAAAGGTATTCATCTAATTGAGTCAGAGTTTCCAAAAAATGTTCCTATCCCTTGCACATTTGTTTGGAGTGGCTAAGTGAAAGTCTCATGCTTACAGTGGAGAAGGAGGGAACTAGTGTTTGTTCAATAGTTCTTTTAGGTGGGTTTACTTTGGTGAGCACATTATGAAAAAAAAAGAAAGAAAGAAAGATAGAAATAAATTTAAATTAATTATAAAAAAAAGTTCTATTAGGCATGTGCTAGAAATTGTCACTTTGTTAAGTGCTCTTAGGGATCCAGGACAGTAAGGAACTATGCTCATTTGGCAATTAATGTCATCGAGGTTCTTAGTGAAAATAATTTGTCCAAGTTCCACAGGTCGCTAGAGGGTGGTGCTGGTCTGACTTTTCACTCCACCACTAAGGCCCAGCCCTTCCTCTGGGTCATCAACAGCTGGCTAAAATGATGCTGTCAGAGCACTACTCTGCCTGATGTTTCCAGTGAGACCTTAATGCTAGGCCTTTAAAATTCATAAGGACCTTTGTTTTATTTGTTTGTATCAGGGGTTTTGGCGGGAATGAAGAAACAAGCTACAGGGTTGTTACCCTTCCCCTTGCCCAAACTGGCTTTAATCAGATGCTGCCTCTCATTCCCTCAATATAACTGGATGAAGAGGACAGAGAGATTCTGCCACTTTCTTATAGGCCCCCAGGCCTCCCACCCCCTTTCGAAGCACCCTTGGATGATAGATCATTGCTGTCGTACTTGCTCAGCTTGGTCAGGACTCAAAGATCTTACAGATCCTTTGGGAAGATCTTCTCTGAGAGCATCCATGGCTGAGTGCCTGCCCCTGTATCTTCCAATAATCAGATCTGATCAGTTACTTAGGCACTAATGCAATAGTGCTGCATCATGGGAAGCATGGGCTTTGGAGTCAGATATTTTTTCATGTATTCCAACAAACATTTTAGTACCTGTAAGTCCCAGGCACCATTGGAGGTGCTGGGATGTGGCAATGAACAAAACAAAGTTCTTGCCCTGAGGAGCTTGTAACTAGAGACAGTAACCAAGTGACAAGTAGTCATAAATGCTTTGAAGGAAATAAATCAGGGGCAAGGACAACCAAGAGGGAGGAAAGAGCTCTTTTCAATGTGGAGAGTGGAGGGAAAGCTTCGGTGATGTTCGAGCAAAACTAGCCAGCAGTGTGGATATTTGAGAAGGAGTGATGCAGATGGAAGAAATAGCAAATATAAAGGCTACAAGGCAAAAGAAAGCTGGCCTCTTCAAAGAACAGCACGGAGGCCAGTGTGGCTGCAGCTTAGTGACTGGGGGAGAGTGCAGCTGATGGTGAGGAGGGAGGCAGGCATTAGAAAGTATCCAAGGAAGCCATGGCAGGTCCTAAGCAGAGAAATTTTGTTTTAAAAGGATTTCTCTGGGTCCATGCAAAGAATGTTTGGTAAGGGAGCCACGGGTAGAAACAGGACATTCAGGAGGCTTTTTAGGAATCCAGGCCACAGGTGATTAGCATGTTAGCCATGGACTAGGGAAGTATTCAGATTCAGGATTTAGTTTTGAGATGAAGCATTTAGCACTTGCCACTGATTAAATGAAAGAATGAGAGAAAAAGGAGTTGGAGGTGACTTCTAGGTTTGGTTTGTGTCACTGAGGGTTTCTCAAGCCCAGCATTGTAGACATGTGAGGCTGACATGGAGGGGTTTGCAGCAAGTGTGCATCATTGGCTGCTTGGGAGCATCTCCTCTCTAGATGTCAGAAGCACTTCCCACTTACGACAGTCAAAAAGGTCTCTAGACACTGCCAAATGTCTTTGAGGGATTGCGCTGGCAGAGAACCACCAGGGTATCTGAATGAATAGTGGTATCATTGACTGAGAGGGAGTCTGGGAGCTAGTGGAGAATGGATTCTATTTTGGACCCATCAAGTTTCAGAGGCCTTCCCAGGTGGGCATACCTCGAAGGCTGTTGGCTAACGGGCCTGGAAATCAGAGCAGAGGTTCAGGTAGGTAGAGGAAGTAGAAAGGCATCAGCGTAGCTCACAGGTAGAATTGACAGCCAAAGAGAGTCAGCCACTGGATGAGTGTAGGTAGAGAAGAGGACCTAAGGGGAAGGCAGGTCCACTTCAACATTTAGAGGTTCTGAACAAAAGGAAGACCCAACAGAGAATACTCCAAAGGAGCTACAGGTAGAATAGCTATAAAACCAGGAGAGTGTTGAGGTCTAGAAGTAAAGGACAGAAAGTGTTATAAGAAGGACTGAATAGTGAAGTGGGGCACATGCTACTGACTGGTGAAGAAAGGAGACAGAGAACTGGCCATTATATTTGGCAAGACCGAGTTCGTTGCCAACCTTGGCAAGAGCATTCACTGTGGAGTGGTGGGGATGAGGTTGACCAGAGCAGGTGAAAGTGACACTAGAAATGCTTCCACTGCCAGTGTAAGCAGACAGGGTAATTCAGACCAGCTCATTCCCTTTGGACTGCCAGAAAAGCTGGCCAAAACAAAAAAGCATCTGCTTGAGAGCACTGGGGAGCCAGCACAGCACTGAGAAGAGGCCTGTCCAGTGCAGAGGTGAGCCCAGCACGTGGAGCAACTTTTGCCCTGGGGATATTTGCTGATCCTGAAGAGGTTGGAAGATTATTTAAATTTTTTACAGCTTATCAGAGTTGGGGGAATAAGAATTAGAGTTTAGGCCGGGCGTGGTGGCTCACGCCTGTAATCCTAGCACTCTGGGAGGCCGAGGCAAGAGGATCACTTGAGCCCAGGAGTTTGAGGTTGCTGTGAGCTAGGCTGACGCCACGGCACTCACTCTAGCCTGGGCAGCAAAGCGAGACTCTGTCTCAAAAAAAAAAAAAAAAAAAAAAAAGAATTAGAGTTTAAGTCCCACCTTGGATCCAGCCTGAGAGATCCTTAAAGCTTTGGTTTGGCGCACCAAAGGACTGCACACTAGGAGTGAGGGTGAACCAGAAGTAACCAGCACCCAGCTGCCACCCTGCCCCAGCTTTGATTGTGCTCATTTGCAGACACAGGTGTGACCCAGAAAATCCCATTAGTTTTTTGTTTTCGGGAGGTCTTTTTTGAGACAGAGTCTTGCTCTGTTGCCCAGGTTAGAGTACAGTAGCATCATCATAGCTCACTGCAGCCTCAAACTTCTGGCCTCAAGTCTCCTGAGTAGCTAGGACTATAGGCACATACCACCACAGCCGGCTAATTTTTTAAAAAAATTTTTTGTGTAGAGACAGGGGTCTGGTTGTGTTGCCCACGCTGGTCTTGTACTCCTGCTCCCTCGAGCCATCCTTCTGCCTTTGCCTCTCAAAGTGCTAGGATTACCGGGGTGAGCCGCCACATCTAGCCTCATTAGCTAATTTTTGGATTAAAGTGATCCTAGTCCTGGGTGACTAGAGAAAGCAAACAAAATCAAAGATAATCAGACAAACAAAAACCACAAAACAACGTGAACAGAAAAAACAGATTCACAAGGGCTGAGAGGTAAATTACAATGCTTACTATGTTTAAGGAGATAAAAGACAAAAACATTTCAGCAGAGATATGGAAACTATAATAAAAGACAGCAGTTTTGAAAAGGAATCAAATAGAATTTTAGGCCTGAAAAATGCACTAACTGAAATGAATTCAGTAGATTACAAAAGGCCTTGAGGAAACTTTTTGGGGTAATGGATATTTTTATTATAGTAATGATTTCACCCCAATGCATTAAATTGCACACTTTAAGTATGTGCTGTTTCTTACTTGTCAGTTATTCTGGGCTTTGATAAGACAAAAATCCATTTAAAAAACACTGGATGAATTTAACAGTAGAGTCAAACTAAAGAGAGAATTAGTAGAATGGAAGAAAGCGTAGACTAAACTATCCAGGATGAAGTGTAGGAAAGAAAGAAGAGACATGCATGGTATAGTGAGATGCTTCATCATGTGTTGTTGGAGTCTCAGAAGGAAATGGAAAAAAAGAGAGAGAAGCAATCATTGACAAGATAATGGCTGAGATTTTTTTCAGACTGATGGAAGCTATCAAGTCACAGGTGTAGGAATCCTTACAAATCCAAACAGGATAAATGTGAAAGTCCAGACCCACACAGCATGGTGGGACCAAAGAAAACCAATAAAACAAAACAAAGAATTTGATGCACTTGATTCACCAACAGACTTGCACTAAAGGAAATACTAACGAGTATCTTTCAGGTGAAGGAAAATTCTAGATGGAAGTAAAAGGATGTAAGGAGGAAGAAGGAATGAAGAGCAATGGTTATTGCAAATAAGTACATAAATCTAAATGAACATTGTAAAAAATAATGATTTTAATAAATATTTAATTTGAACTAAAATATAAGACAAAAATAACCCAAGTCAGATGAGATAACTGCAGTCAGTATTCTCAGCCCTTGCCTTGTCTAGGAACAGGACAAAGGTACCAAATAACGCTGGGCTTTGATAAAGACAAAGGCATGTTGTAATCTCCAGACTAACCACTAAGAAAGCAATATATATAACTTCCAGACTTATAAAGGGGGAAAAAAGAAATTTTAAAATGTCAATCTAAAATAGAAAATAAAGGATAGAAAAAAAAAGAAATAGAGACCAAGACACAAAGTATGTTAAGATAGTAAATTTAAGAGGCAGGAGAGAGCCAGAGAGCCGGTAAGGGGCTTCGAGAAGGAAGCTGCGGCAGCGCCCCCACCCGCCCAGGCCCGGAGCCCCCTGCGCACTCGGTTTTGGAACCACCAGGAGGAAGTGGGCCATTCTACCGCTTGTTGCCACGATGCTGGCCACCCGCCTCTCCAGACTCCTGTCACAGCTCCCAGGAAAAACCCTCAGTATGTATGACAGAGAACATGGAGCAAGATGCCCACTGTTGTTTTGCTCTGCCTCCTTTATCCCAGTGAGCCGGACATACGCTGGTGAGGTGGACCCGGTTGGCAGCAAAGCTGTTCTGGTCACAGGCTGCGACTCTGGATTTGGGTTCTCCTTGGCCAACCACCTGCACTCAAAAGGCTT